CAGCTTCCGAGCACAATTCAAAGTGCTGGTGTTGACCTATAAATCCCTAAACGGTTCCGGCCCAATTTACCTGTCTGAATGGATTCTTCCCTATGAACCATCAAGGTTGTTAAGATCTTCTGGAGGGGCCCTGCTCTCGGTCCTACCGCCTTCGCAATCGTGTTTGGTGGGAACGAGGGACAGGGCCTTCTCAGTGGTGGCCCCTCGGCTCTGGAACTCCCTCCCGATGGAGATTAGATCTGCTTCTTCCCTCCTAACTTTTAGAAAGCTGGTAAAATCATGGCTTTGGGATACTGCATTGGCAGAATGATGACTGAGTCAATAACTGTTGACCTACTGGCGGATGGCGATGCATTTGTGATTTCACTCTGACAAACTGACTTTTTTGTAATTTGTATGAACTGTATTTTAATGTATTTAATATTGATGATGTATATTTGCTTTGATCTTCTGTATTGAATCATCTGTTGTTAGCCAGCCTGAGTCCCTCTTCGGAGGTTGAGAAGACCGGGTTATAAAAACTCTAAATAAAAAAAAAACTCTAAATATTAAGTTTTGAAAAAATAAAATTATGCTGCTGCACCCTGTATTAGAAATGTGTTTATAATCTCGGGAAAGCAGTGTGTTTAACTCTGAATTTTATTTTGTTACATGTTTGTATGGTTTCTATTCTGTCAGTGGTGATATATAAAACAGTTCCCAGTAAAAAGTTGGTGTTTACGAGCATTACTGTTTTCATACGGCTTTATGAGCCTTGCTATTTTCATGGCAACAGACTAAAACAACTACTCTCTTGAAAGTTATGTCGGCAGTTTGGCTCCTAAGATGTTTTAAAGGTGTCAGGCAGTTTGTTTCTAGAAGAACAGCCGGGTAATCGCTGAAAGTTTATGCCATAATAAATATACGAGCAGACTCTATATTATTTTAACCTAGAATCTATCCCTCCAGTTTACAATGATATGGATAGGGCCAAATATATATGGGCAGAGGCGGTCCTGGGTAATTGTCAAGGGTAAGCAAAGAGTATTTTGGCGCCCCCACCCCAACCAATCACTGATATATATTTTCTGTTCGTCGTGGGAGTTCTGTGTGCCATATTTGGTTCAGTTCCATCATTGGTGGAGTTCAGAATGCTCTTTGATTGTAGGTGAACTATACATCCCAGTAACTACAACTCGCATATGTCAAGGTCTATTTTCCCCCAAGAGCGCCTCAAGAGTGCCCCTGGGCAAAATCAACTACAATGCAAATGCTTACTTTGTGTAATGGGTTGAGCCGCCCCTGTATATGGGGGTCCTTTTAGTTGAAATCTGTATCGTGTACATTGGTGCACTCTGTGATGCAACTAATGAGGTAAGTATCAAATAATCATATCTGAAAAATGATTAACCACTTAAGAGATCTCATTAAGGTTTTTAAAATGAGAGTCCTCTTTTTGTCTTCCTCCACCACCTCCAAGAATAATTTGTTGCGTGCACATTTAGTACACATGACATTCTGGGCAATGAAGTGTTCAGTAAAAAAATGAACCAGGCTGTGAACATAATGGCATGCCATGGTCGGTTTTGCAAAAACATTGACAGAAACAGAAATGCATTTCATTTTCAGGCTCATACAGTGACTTCCACCTCCAACCCCCTCCCCGTCATATTGGGTTTTTTGGGGGGTTTTTTTACAGCACACTCTGTTCCATTAAGTTGGTCCTCCATTTAAAGATGCCGCACTCAGCAGCCTGAAAGCAAGACCAGAGGGAATAATTTGGCAGTACCTGTGCTTTTTGTTCTGCTGAACTACACAGTTGGCAGAATCATATGCTGCAGTTCTTATCAAGCTGAGCAATTGCATGCTTGAATGCCGAATGTGTAGTTATGAAGGGCTACATCACGTCATTATACCCACATTTCTTAAAAGTAACGGAAAGGAAAAAAGAAATCCTACCAGCACGAAACAATTTTATAAAGTTTTCCAAGTTAGTTTTCTTTAATTTTCTATGGAAGGAGTCTACCATCTGTGGACGTAGTTTCTACTAGGGTACATTCAGCCATCTGCTATCTTTAGTTGGTATAGTCCAAACTACACTACATGGTTATGCTGAGAATATAATTTGTCTTTCAGAAACAGCTGAGCGTAGGCATGACTTTAATGCACAGTTTGTACTGACAATAGCATTTTAGAGGCAATAGCATCAGCATACAGGTCTGCTTGTTTTTCCCCCCATCAGACTACTTATTTTGATAAACTCTTTGTGCAGGATTTCATAGCAAATCTTCTTGAATCTTCCAAACACTAAAACTGTCCTGGGAATAAAAATGTATATTGTTGTCTGGCTCATAGATCATTCCATTCATGCTGAACTGCACCAATATTGTAGATATTTGAATGAAACTCACACAATGAAATATTAAGGAACTAAGTACTGTATATACTCGAGTATAAGCCTGGTTTTTCAGCCCTTTTTTTAGGCTGAAAAAGTCCCGCTCGGCTTATATTTGAGTCAAGGTTATTTATTATTTTACCCTTTTAGAAATACATAATAAATGTTTTGTTGTTGTTGTTGTTGTTGTTGTTGTTACATTGAGCATTCTACTTTATTATGGTTTTATTATTTATTGTTTTACTCTATTACTACTGTTATTATTACATTTCCATTATTGTACTCTATTATTATTAGTAGTATTATTACAATTATTATTTTACTCTATTTTTATTGGAAGGATATGCAAGCATATTTACAATGAAGAAGGGTAGAATAATTGTTTAATCAGAGTTCCACAATCTTATCTTAAATTATAGTTGTATGTAAATATTCAAAACATTTAACCTACTGATGCCTCAATTAATGTAATTGTATTGTATCTATTTTATTTTGAAATTTACCAGTAGCTGCTGCATTTCCTACCTTTGGCTTATACTCGAGTCAATACGTTTTCCCAGTTTTTCATGGTAAAATTTGGTACCTCGGCTTATATTCGGGTCAGCTTATACTTCAGTATATACAGTATATACTTTTATAATGAGCAGTTTTTTTGTTAATCACTATGTATGCTGTTGTGAGAGATATAAAATGTATTACAGGCAGTTCCTGAGTTACAAACATCTGACTTACAACCAGCTCATACTTAAGAACGGGGTTGAGACAACAGAAAGTGGGAGAAATCTGTTGCACTAAGCGTATTTCAGTCAAGTCCAATGCAGAAGACACAATAACATTGGACCCAGGCAAGAGCGAAAAAAACAGAAAAACTTTTCTCTTATCAGCAGTTAAAACATAAACTTGCAATGTTACAAACAGTGCAACAAATTTACATAGAGCAGTCGAAATGGTTGAGCATAATGCCTGAGCCAAAGGCTCCTCAGAGCAAAAGCTGAACTGTATTCTAAAAACCATACAGTTATACCCCACTGGGTGTGGTCCAAACTTACTAGTTGACCTACATAAGCAGCTGCACATAATAATTAATAGCAAATCTTGTCGGATCTTCCAAACACTAAAACTGTCCTGAAAATAAACATGTATATTGTTGTCTGGCTCATAGATCATTCCATTCATGCTGAACTGCACCAATATTGTAGATATTTAAATGAAACTCTCACAATGAAATATTAAGGGACTAAGTATATACGTATATAATTAATACCTGGAGAGTAGTTTTCTGTTAATCACTATGTATGCTGCTGTGAGAGATATAAAATGTATTACAGACAGTTCCTGAATTACAAACATCTGGCTTACAACCAACTCATAGTTAAGAACAGGGTTGAGACAACAGGAAATGAGAAAAATCTATTGTGCTAAGCATATTTCAGTCAAGTCCAATGCAAAAGGCACAATAACATTGCACCCAGGCAAGAGGGAAAAAACAGAAAAACTTTACTCTTATCAACAGAGTTAAAAATAAACTTGCAATGTTACAAACAGTGAAACAAACTTACATAGTCTTTGTAAGCAATACAGAATAAGGCTTCTTCATCTTCATCCAAATGAGAGAGCAGTAGAAATGGTTGAGCAAAATGCCTGAGCAAAGGCTCCTCGGAGCAAAAGCTGAACTGTATTCTAAAAACCATACAGTTATACCCCACCGGATGTGGTCCAAACTTACTAGTTGACCTACATTAGCAGCTGCACACAATAATTAACAGCATAAGGTTTTATTTAACGCACACACTTGATCCTGTTACAACAGGGGTCCTCAAACTTTTTAAACAGAGGGCCAGGTCCCAGTCCCTCAAACTGTTGGAGGGCCGGATTATAATTTGAAAAAAAAAAATGAATGAATTCCTATGCACATTGCACATATCTTATTTGTAGTAAAACCACTTTAAAACAATACAATAATTGAAATAACAAATATAAACTTATTAGTATTTCAGTGGGAAGTGTGGGCCTGCTTTTGGCTGATAAGATAGGGTTGATGTTGTTGTGTGCTTTCAAGTCATTTCAGACTTAGGTTGACCCTGAGCGAGGGCCGGGTAAATGACCTTGGAGGGCTGCATCCGGCCCCCGGGCCTTAGTTTGAGGACCCCTGTGTTACAACTTGCTGTAACAAAATCTATCCCTTGGAAGAGAAAAACACTCCTGAAAGAGTTATCATGGGGAAAAGGTGCGTCCACTGAAGCTTCATCACCAATTCTTGTTTCCACAGCAAGCCATTTGTTTTCAAAATCCAATTATTACAGAGACGGAAAGTGAGTCGCAATCTTCTGAATGGGGCACAGACATAGAAACAAACACCACAGGGGTGTTAACCCTTCCCTGTGATATTCATATATGTGCGTATGTGTCTGTACCTGTTCCAACTTACATACAAATTCAACTTAAAAATAAATCTGCAGAACCTATATTGTTCATAACTTGGGGACTGCCTGTATAAGAAAGAATAGATTTAAAAACTGGCAGACAGACCATCCGTATATGTATTTTAAAATATTCAGTGATTAATGAGAATGGCAAGAAGTCAAGGCTCATTGTTAACACTTATTTTGTCATTTCTTTTTTGCAGTAATTACAGCGCATTGTTAGGCGTGTGGATCTATGGCTTTTTTGTTGTGGTCTTGCTGGTACTGGACCTTTTGTATTATTCCTCAATGAACTACGATATTTGCAAACTATACCTAGCAAGCTGGGGAATCCAGGGGAAATGGATGAAACCGGAACCAAGTCGGTGGATTAAACCTTCTCAGGACCCAAGACAAGCACAGACTCAGGCTCAACCTCAGCCTATGCCTCAAACATTGCAGACAGGACATGCATTGAAAGGAGAAGCTTTAAATCCACCGCTGATGTCTTTTCCAAGTTCAACTGCCTGGTAAGTTTGTAAGACCATAGTGCCTTTTTTGATGTCATAATTACTGGTTCAATACCAATATTGATTGCAAAGTTGTTTGAGTAAAACTTGGCATCTGTACCAAAAAAGAGAATGGAGGCCTCCAAAGGGAGGTTCTACACTGACGAAGTGGGATGGAGCTGGCATCCGAAACAGAGCTGCCTTGGTTGTGGGCACCATGGTGTGCTGGTTGTTAGCTGCCCTGATTCCCTCTATATAGGTCAAGATAGGACGGGATACAAATGTCCAAAATAATAAATAAATAAATACATAAATAAATAAAGGGGTCAACTCAGCAATGGCAGAGCATCACTACTGCCCAACCTGGCAGGAATCCAAATGGTAACTCCCTCTCTCCATGTCACTGCTAACTACAGCAGTTACAGGGAACTCATCTTACTGTACGGGTGCCATTTTCTTCCTTCTATGTCTTGTGACTTGCAAAGGAGGATGGGAAAAGGGGTGAAGCCTTTATTTCTTTCTACATTATGAGCCACAAGACACTTAAAGAGGACGATGGACCCCCGCTAGCATAAGATAGGTTCCATCTGTCACTGCCATAACCAGCAGCAACATGGCAAGGTGGGCAGGAGAAAGTAGCTATTCTGTGTCCCCAGGTCACTTGATTCCAGAAGCAAGGGGTGGCTGTTGGGATACCTGCAACCAGTTCTGCATAGGAATCATGTAGGAGTCTAGACTGCCATAACTTGGAGGAGGACTCAGGGTTTCTGCTGGGTTATATTAATCTAGGATACAGCCACATTAACTGGGCTAATTCAGATCAGCTCAAATCCAGATCAGCCCATGGGCAGCCACATTTTGTGGCTGCCCATGGGCTGATCTATATCTGCACTGATTTAAATGGTCAGTGTAGATAAGACCTTGCCAGATTTCTTCATGGATAAGGAAAAAGTGATATAATACCAATATAACATTGACTGTACCACCTCAGGTGAGAGTGATAGTTCTAAACCATTAATTGTATAAATTACTCTCTGGAGAAGTAGCTCACATTTGGCCAGTATGGGAGCCATAAATGGGATTAGGTATAGGCAGACTATACATGGAGCCAGCTGATATAGTGGTTTGAGTATTGGACTTGGACTCCAGGAGACTAGAGTTTGATTCCTTATTCAGCCACTGAAACCCAATAGATAACCTAAGGGAAGTCACTCTCTCTCAGCTCCAGAAGAAGGTGGTGACAAAGTACCTATGAAAACTGGGTTGTTGTAGGTGTTTTGGGTTGAATGGCCATGTTCTAGAATGACAAGCTATTGGCAAGAGGAATCCATGGGAAGTTCATCTTATGGTTGCCATGAGTTGGAAATGACCTGAAAGCTCACAAGACCAAGTAAGAAAGAACTTCGGGAGAGCTAGTTTTAAGTATATAATGACCTTGAAAACTCTTGTATGAATGAACAGGGATAGAAGGATGCTCCTAGAGGATCTTCCAATAGCTTAGTTTCAAATATGAGTTGTATCTGCTTGTTATATTCATCCTTCTTGAAACTTACTTTCCAAGCTCTGTGTGCTTCCATATATAGAACTTGGCATACAAGGCCAAATCTGAACACAGGATTCACTTGGTTCCTGCTTGGGGTTTTGAAAGGGGAGATATAAGAAAGGGAAGCCAACTACAACTATTGTGGCAGTGTTCAGGTCTTTTAGCTTTACTATTTTTTTCTGTGGGATTGAAATATTACTTGGAAATGCTAAAGTCAATCAAGTGGTTTTGTATTCTGTGGGCCAGCCCCTTTTTTTTCTGGTACTTATTCGGTTTCTTGGACTGGTTGCTTGTCTTTCAGCCTCACTGATCTTTCTTCCATGAAATACATGTTTAATAATTGGTCATGGCCATTGCAGAAACCATTTTGTGATCATGCCAAAGACATTTTCTCAATCTTCCAGATTTGCCACTACGATATTCAACAAAAAAGAAGGGGAGAAATGAAGGGAGGGAAAGAAAAGAAATTGGGTACAATTCACATCTTAAGTAGCTGCAACATATTTGCAGAGCACGAATGTGATTTCACACTTGTCTGACTTGAAATGACACAGTCTTGTTCATGTTGTAAAATATTTGTAATAGTTAAGAAATTAATTTCATTCATGTATGATAATGAAGTAACCTAATTTGCACTAATTCAGACTAGTACACAGACCAGAATTTTAAAAAGTGGTGTTTGTGCATATCTGAATTTTATATTTTAAAAAATCTCCAGGGAAATTGTGTACAAAACCGAAAATGTTAGGGAAAAGAGTATACAAAAAACCATATATAGGAGACATTTTTAAAAATGTAAACATGAGTTGCAAATGTGTACACATGAAAATACCTGACAATGTTCATATGGATTTTTACAACCTGTTCAAAAATGGATGTTGGGGGAAAATGGGAAAATTGATGTTGGGGAAAATGTGAATATTATAAAAGATAAAGCAAAAAGATTTGATTTTAACTTTAAACCTTGTCATGAATCTTTCATGTTAGTGATAAACATGGGTTTTGTTTCTTAATTTTACATGTGCTGATTTTTATTCATGAATTATTAACTAAAAATTACAACTTTGTTTTGTGTACATTTCAATGGAACTTAAGCGCTTGATGATCGCCATAACTGATCTTCAAAGAAAGTGTTGTTTTCTATCATCAATTAGTTTTAAAATTTTGTATATTTTACATGTGAGATGCATATTACTTTTCCTTTTTGTAGACAAATGGCATTCGAGAAATAGAAACAATATCACATTTATTCTTGACTTTAGAAACTCAATTGTACTTTTGTGCTGAATGTATCTCAATTCAATAACTAACATAGAGGAAGATATTATTACCATATTTACTAAAATCTAATGTTAACTTTTATTTGCTACATTACATTGCGAAAATGGAGGTGTGCATTACACTTGATTGTGCATTATACTTGAATAAATATGGTATATGTGACAATGATCAAAGATCACCCCATTGGTTATCTTGAGACATCATACTTCAGCTTTATAAACTAGTATTTCCAGATTTAAGAGTGTATTCTAGTTGATACGTAATATTTTATAGTTGGGGAGAGGGTATGGTTCATGTCTAGGTGAGATTACATTGTAGTAAACAAACTTGTGTACCCCTCCATATATGAATTCTTGAATATCAACTCCAGGGTACTCAAGTCGTGACAGATTTGGATGACACAAGGAACAGGTTTTTAATGGAATCAGGTGCCAAGTTTCTAGTGTTACCAAGTAGAAATCTGTTTCTAGCTTTAATTCTTTCAATTTGCTCTTCTCAAAAAGGATCAGCTGCTCATGTTCTGGAAGAATTCTTATTTTTTACCTTGAGAGAATCAAATCAAATCATTTATTTTGGTCATAGACCACCACAGGAAATAGAAGTCACATTTTCATACAAACTTGGTACGTTTAGTATATTAAAAATATAAATATAAATATTGAAGCACAATAGGGGTGAAGGAGCGGAAGGGGAAACAGGGTAAAAACATACAATGCACGGGTCCATCAGCAAATTATAGATTCAGGGAATCATAGAATCATAGAATCAAAGAGTTGGAAGAGACCTCATGGGCCATCCAGTCCAACCCTCTGCCAAGAAGCAGGAATATTGCATTCAAATCACCCCTGACAGATGGCATCCAGCCTCTGTTTAAAAGCTTCCAAAGAAGGAGCCTCCACCACACTCCGGGGCAGAGAGTTCCACTGCTGAACGGCTCTCACAGTCAGGAAGTTCTTCCTAATGTTCAGATGGAATCTCCTCTCTTGTAGTTTGAAGCCATTGTTCCGCGTCCTAGTCTCCAAGGAAGCAGAAAACAAGATTGCTCCCTCCTCCCTGTGGCTTCCTCTCACATATTTATACATGGCTATCATATCTCCTCTCAGCCTTCTCTTCTTCAGGCTAAACATGCCCAGCTCCTTAAGCCGCTCCTCATAGGGCTTGTTCTCCAGACCCTTGATCATTTTAGTTGCCCTCCTCTGGACACATTCCAGCTTGTCAATATCTCTCTTGAATTGTGGTGCCCAGAATTGGACACAATATTCCAGGTGTGGTCTAACCAAAGCGGAATAGAGGGGTAGCATTACTTCCCTAGATCTAGACACTATGCTCCTATTGATGCAGGCCAAAATCCCATTGGCTTTTTTTGCCGCCACATCACATTGTTGGCTCATGTTTAACTTGTTGTCCACGAAGATGATTACTGGACACACAGTTAACTTTTGGGATTAGTCAGCCCCTGACGGATTTTGTATGCTGCTGCAAAGAACTTTGGAACATTGTAGGTTGTAGCTGAATTAGTATCTCTACAAGTAGCAGGGAGGTATAAAATTGTCCTGAATGGCCTGGGTGCTTGTATATCAAAGGTAAGATGAGCCTGGCACAGATATCCCTGTAGAATGGGCACTGAAGGAGCACATGTTCTATTGTTTCTATATGACCTGAGTCACAGGGGCAGAGTCTCTCTGGGAAAGGGATCTTCCGGCAGCAGCCTTCGAGTACTGTTGATGGGAGAGCGTGGCATCGAGCCAGGGTGAAAGCCCTTCAATGAATAGGAACCTTTAAGTTTGTTAAATATGCCATAGGGGAGGCAAGATATCTGCTGTCTTCATTGATAAGGAAGGTTGGAACGGAGGCCAGATCTAGTTGTCGCTCTGTGTCTGTGATACGTTGTTTATTTATTTATTTAGAACTTTTATATACCGGTCTTCTCACCTCTCACAAAGGGACTCGGGCCGGTTTACAACAGAGGAAATCATACACAATAGTTAAAACATCACATCCTATAAAGCATTAATATAAAACACATTGAAATGCAATCATATAATTACATAAGGCCAAGTCGTCAGAATAAAATCACCATTCATCACCATCCATCAGTGTGGTCAAGGGTTATTGACTCACTCATCAAATGTCAGATTCCAGAGCCAGGTTTTCACCAACTTTCTAAAGGTCAGGAGGGAAGGGGCAGTTCTAATCT